GAAGTAAAGTGAGAATGGTTTGAAGTAGAATTTCTTGAGCTTTATCCCATTGAAGAAACTTCGAAGCAGCAATATTCGTCAGCAGCGCAAAAGCGGCAGTATCCCGCCATATTTCAAACCGGGTCAAGATCTAGTGGGCATGACGTCCACAAGACACGTCGGCCCACACGTCCTAACATGTCCGCTTCTGTCCCGGCCGTAATGCCCAGTCCTTCCACTTCCACTGTCTATGTTTCCCACATAAAATCTGGCATGTCAGGTCTTTTCCAAATTGTGAATAGTAGCGAGGTTATCAACAATTACTTCCGTGAATAAAGTTAGCGGCGACTAAACTTAGCGAGTTCACGGCTTGAGTTGCGGCGAGTCAATTGTCATACAGTAGGGGGGATTAATAATTCGATTGAGAAAAATCAATTAATTGGACTTGTTCACGGTATAAACTGTATTTTCATTTAGTTATCAGAAATCAACGCTAAAGAAAAGACCGCAAAATTGAAAACAGAGTAGCTTTATCTTCTAATTAATCAAAGTCATTCTGGCCTACTCCAGGTGTGACTGGCAGCCTCAAAGTGACGTCATGAAAAGTTTTTTAATTGACTCAGTCAGGAGTAAGTGCATTTTCATGATCAATATTAATATTCTTAACCGGGTATGGAGAGGATATTCTTGCTCTGACATGTGCAAGGAAAATGTAGCCTTTGATTGTTACATAAATAATTCAAACATGGTAATGAGTGAGTCAGTACAGTTTTACGCCGCTTTTAACAGTATTCCAGCTATATCACGGCGGGGGACACCAGAAATGGGCTTCACACATTGTACCCATGTGGAGAATCGAACCTGGGTCTTCTGCGTGACGAGCGAACGTTGTAGCCACTAAGTTACCCCACCGCGGTAATGATCGTGCATCTCATTAGATGTTATGTTCATAGTAGCAGTGGGGTAGACCCGGGTTCAATTCCCCACATGGATACGATGTGACAAGCATATGGCTGGTGTCCAAAACCATGATATAGCTGGAATATTGCCAAAAGTGGTGTAAAACAAAACTCACTCAATAAAACGGAAAACGTACAATGGCATACTCATTAAAGATGTGTGTCTTAGCACACATTTGTTGTGTTCCACAAGTTATGTAAGTTTGGAACGTTTGCTTTGAATGACCCCAGAAAACACATCGGAGAAATTTAAACAATCTGATACCTTGCTATGTACTTAAGACAGCTCGTTTGCGTCAGTTCAGACGATCTTTAGCGTTGAGGGGTACTAGACAGGGCTCGATGTAAGAGATGTTAACCGACTAGCACCAGGTGCAACCTAAGATAAAACCTAGTTGCACCTGTCAAATTCCAGTTGCACTGCTTTATTGCAATATGTAATATCAGAAATATGCCATTGAATTATTTAGATGTTTTATTCAGAAGCTTACCCACTCCAAAATTGACTTGCACCTGGCACAAGTTAGACTCATAACTAGGTTGCATTTTGTAAAATTGGGTTGCACTAGTGCAAGTAACAGAGCCCCAAATGGAGCCCTGCATCAATTCATACATAATAATGACATAAAAAAAATAATCATTGATATCCTATTACAATTTCAAATCTAAGTCAGATAATATAAGCAATGTGTGGTAAACAGAGAATGTACGGTAACTGCATACAGAAACATAATACAAACAATTTCCTAGAGAAAGGAGAGAGCTGTGAGGTCATTGGGTGTATTCAAGCAAGTGTCTAACATGCCATTTCAAATGCATCAATTCATGCATATTGAATTACATTTGTGTTGTCATTCCACTGTCTGCTCGCTCCATAACCTTTCAGGAATGGGGAGATGTGTACCAGTTTGTTATACAAGACTTTATTTTGTCATTTTGACATTTTATTTTGATAACAGAAATATTGCCAATACTTTGAATATAATTTAAGTAAGGCAATATCCTCGTAATTCTCCATTCCTTAAAAATAATGGACTTCGGGTTCATTAAGTTTAAGGAATGGAGATTTACAAGGACATTACCCTCTACATAATGACACATTAATAAAAATAAGACAAAAATAATCAATGATATCCTATTACAATTTCCATTTAAGTCAGGTAATATAAGCAATGTGTGGTTTAACAGAGTATGTACGGTAACTGCTTACAGAAACATAATACAAACAATTTCCTTGAGTAACTATGGTACTGATAAATAATATAACCCTACCGATAAATTAATCATCAACAACAATTGCAGAGGACAAGCACAGAGTGGAGCACCTAACAATTACGGTATGTTGTGCCTAGTTCGTTTAGAATTTATAACAATTACTGTATGTCGCGCCTTATGAGTTACTGAGGGTAAGGATTTATGACTATTACGGTATGTCGCGCCTAATGCCTTCATTACCGTGAGGGTTTATACCACTTATGTTATGTAGTACACATTGCGTTAACTATGGTAGGGATTTACAACTATTTCGGTATGTCGCGCTTAATGCATTAAATACGGTAAGAATTTACGACTTGGGAGAATAAATTTCAGTTATCAAAATACATCCAATGGGCAAATACGGTAAACGGCGCAAAGTTCTCAGACTGGACATATGCCCTTTAACTCTGGTACGCATTCTAACTGTAATTTTTAGTATTTATTTTCTCAATACAAAAAATCGGTAGATAGGTAGTTGGTATTAGAGATTGATATACAGGTATGTAACTACGGTGACAGAAGATATAGTTTTAGTTAGAGTACTACTACCTTGTTTCATCCTGGATTATTTGGGTGACTACGGTAAATGTGTTTCGAATGATGATGTTGCTATTCTGTACGGTATACAACTGCACGGGAAACGAGACGTTTCATATCTTTATTCAAATACTTATTTATGTTGGTGAAATATCAAAATACAAATGTTGGCTGTTGTAATCTATTCTGTGGGCGTGTATCTGAGGTAAATTTACTTGAATTTTATTTGATCGGCAGACTATCGTATTTGTAAACTACGGAATAACTGACCTACCTACAACTTCATCATTGCTCAAAATAGTCATATAAATTCTCGGAACTGTTTTAGTGACTAAGCTACTGGAATCTACGCTACTGAAGTAGAATCTAACCTGCATATACAGATCTAACACGCAAAATGAATAAAGCTAGACAAAGACTGGGGATATACATGTGTGTCGAAACATTGAAAAGACATATTCATATGTACAAGAAAGACATAAAACTTAAGGAGCCACGATGCAATGTGCACAGACATCACTGGATAGTGCCTAAGAATTAATCGGTTATCTTGAACAAGCATTTACAATGGTAGGTATTTCGAAAAGTGCTTCAATGTCGTAGGAATGTGTCACACTTGACTCTGACCCTTTCGTGACGATATTTACAAAGAAAGAAAAGTTAGACATAAACAAGAATAAAATTTAAATGTTTCTTTCCTTGAAACAAGAAAGGAGAGAGCTGTGAGTTCCTTGGGTTTATTCGAGCTAGTGTGACCGAGTTGGAAAATCCCAAGATTTTATACCTCACAGCTCTACTCGTTTATCATTATCAAATTCTCTTAGGCTAAAGTTTCCAGATGCCCTACTGGTATGTACCCTATGCTAACACAGTTTACAACATGAGGTAGGTGGTCAGAAGGTAATTACCTAACAAGACTTCATTTTCTTTATGGTGTAGCCACGGTCAACTTGCGCCAGCTGCTAACAATTCATCTGTCAGCGCTTGACCATGGCATTTACGACAGGACAAAGAGGATGATATGAAGGTCTTGTTCAACAAAAGTTGGTGGTGAAACATGCCCTGCTGGATGGAAATACTTGTCTGCATTTGACCAAGGATGTAACCAAGAAGAAGGTGTCAACACAGCTCATTAACTTTATCTTTGATTAACTAGTTTAAGATTGGTGTGGATATGTTTGCTAACTGACCACTCCCGCGCTTGACATGCAGGGCTATAAACAAGAAACATTATGCACAGCGACTTGCACATACACGGATTTCCTTTGTCAAGATTAATTTGTGAAAAATATAACAGTGTATGCAGAATTATATGCAATATATACACTAAAACTCTACTGCGAATCCTCCGAAGTGTTTACTAGCTAAGAGTATCTGACAGTGCAAATGTTTTCCACATTCAACACATTGACAAGAAAAGATTCTACCTTGAATCCTTATGTATTTCTGCAGGGTTCATGCAGGTGCAAATCCTTTCCCAAACCAAATACAGTAATAACTCTTCACTGTTTGATTCCACTGTGAATCTTCATGTGTGCCTGCAGATTACCCAAATGTGTAAATTGTACATTCATGAGGCTTCATTCCACTGTGAATCCTCATGTGTTACTGGAGGTCACCTGATTGTGTAAATGTTTTCTCACACACAATGCACTCATAATTTTGATTCCACGGTGAATTCTAATGTGTGTCTGCAGAGTACTTGAATTAAAGTTGAATGTAAACTTTTTCCAACATTCAACACATTCATAAGGCTTGATTCCACTGTGAGTCCTTATGTTTTGTTGAAGGTTGCCCGTGTGTGAAAATGTTTTCTTACACACAGTGCACTGATGAAGTTTGATTCCACTGTGAATCTTCATGTGTTCATTAAGATTACCCGATAGTTAATTTGTTTCCAACATTCAAACGATTTGGTTCCACTGTGAATTTGCAAGTGTGCCTAAACGTTACCTGATTGAGAAATCTTTCTCTCACATACAATGCACTAATGAGGTTTCATTCCACTGTGAATCCTCATGTGTGCCTGCAGACCACCTGATTGTGTAAACTTCTTCCCACATTCAACACATTCATAAGGCTTGATTCCACTGTGAATCCTCATGTGTGCCTGCAGACTACCTGATTGTGTAAACTTTTTCCCACATTCAAAACATTCATGAGGCTTGATTCCACTGTGAATCCTCATGTGTTTCTGAAGATTACCCGATAGTGTAAATTTTTTCCCACATTCAACACATTCATGAGGCTTGATTCCAGTGTGAATCCTCATGTGTGTCCGCAGAGTACTTATGTGTGTAAATTTCTTCCCACATTCAACACATTCATAAGGCTTGATTCCAGTGTGAATCCTCATGTGTGTCTGCAGACTATTGGAACATGTAAATGTTTTTTCACACACAATGCACTGATGAGGTTTGATTCCACCGTGAATACCCATATGTGCCTGCAGCTGACCTGATTGTGTAAATTGTTTCTCACATTCAACACATTCACTAGGCTTGATTCCTTGGCGAATCCTCATGTGTGCTTGCAGCTGACCTGATTGTGTAAACTTCTTCCCACATTCAACACATTCATGAGGTTTCATTCCACTGTGAATCCTCATGTGTGTCCGCAGATTACTTATGTGTGTAAATTTCTTCCCACATTCAACACATTCATAAGGCTTGATTCCAGTGTGAATCCTCATGTGTGTCTGCAGACTATTGGAGTATGTAAATGTTTTCTCACACACAATGCACTGATGAGGTTTGATTCCACCGTGAATACCCATATGTGCCTGCAGCTGACCTGATTGTGTAAATTGTTTCTCACATTCAACACATTCACTAGGCTTGATTCCTTGGGGAATCCTCATGTGTGCCTGCAGGGTACCTGATTGTGTAAATTTCTTCCCACATTCAACACATTCATAAGACTTGATTCCACTGTGAATCCTCATGTGTGCCTGCAGGTGACTCGATTGTGTAAATTTCTTCCCACATTCAACACATTCATAAGGCTTGATTCCACTGTGAATCCTCATGTGTTTCTGCAGGGTACCTGATTGTGTAAATTTCTTCCCACATACAACACATTCATAAGACTTGATTCCACTGTGAATCCTCATGTGTGCCTGCAGACTACTTGATTCTGTAAATTTCTTCCCACATTCAACACATTCATGAGGTTTCATTCCACTGTGAATCCTCATGTGTCTCTGCAGACTACTTGATTGTGTAAATTTCTTCCCACATTCAACACATTCATGAGGTTTGATTCCACTGTGAATCTTCATGTGTCTCTGAAGATTATATGACAGTGTGAATGTTTTCCCACACACAATGCACTGATGAGGTTTGATCCCATTGTGAATTTTCATGTGTTTCTGAAGAGTACTTGAACGTGCAAATTTTCTCCCACATTCAGCACATTCGTGAGGCTTGATTCCAGTGTGAGTCCTCATGTGTGTCTTAAGGTCATATGCTTGTGTAAATGTTTTCTCACACACAATGCACTGATGAGGTTTGATCCCATTGTGAATCTTCATGTGTGTCTGAAGATCAGCTGACAGTGTGAATGGTTTCCCACATTCAACACATTCATTGATTCCACTGTGAATCTTCATGTGAGTCTGAAGATTATCTGACAGTGTGAATGTTTTCTGATATTCAGCACACTCATAAGTCTTGATTCCACTGTGACAGAGCATTGGCCTTCTCGAGTCACCTGATTCAGAAAATGTTTCCGAGCTCTCCAACATGTACATGATAGTGCTTTGTTGGACCACTATGTTTTTCAGGATCTCCAAACCATCTGTTTCCAGGGTTCCAATAACATGTTCTTGCTTGAGATCTCCTATTTCCAGGTTTCCAATTATGGGGTCTTTCTTGAGATCACCAGTTTACAGGGTTCCAATTATGGGGTCTTTCTTGAGATCACCAGTTTACAAGGTTCCAATTATTTTTGGGGTCTTTCTTGTGATCACCAGTTTACAGGGTTCCAATTATGGGGTCTTTCTTGAGATCACCAGTTTACAGGGTTCCAATTATGGGGTCTTTCTTGTGATCACCAGTTTACAGGGGTCCAATTATGGGGTCTTTCTTGAGATCACCAGTTTACAGGGTTGCAATTATGGGGTCTTTCTTGTGATCACCAGTTTACAGGGTTGCAATTATGGGGTCTTTCTTGAGATCACCAGTTTACAGGGTTGCAATTATGGGGTCTTTCTTGTGATCACCAGTTTACAGGGTTGCAATTATGGGGTCTTTCTTGTGATCACTTATTACCAACGTGTCAACAAAAATGTTTCTTGAGATCTCCTGTTTTCAGCAAATCCCTTCAACAGATTCCATTTGTTTCAGTGACAGGGAAAGGATTCTGTGGAATTCAGCTTCCATCAGTAACATGTGTATGTTATGGTGTTTGCTGAAAACATAAGAAACATTGTCACACTCTTATAACATCTGGGGTAGGGACCATACACAATATGATGGTATGACACGTAGCATGATAACAAACATGATACTGTAAAAATGTCTTCCCACACACAACACACTATATACAACTTAGCGAAGTGATTTTCAATAATCAGTATGAAAAATGCCAAAGGCAGGATGTATATTTATTCTCTCTATAGCCTCACAATGAATTGTATTTAGTTGATTAATATCCATAATCCTACCGATTTTACATATTTAAGGGCTTTGACTAATTCATCATCCTGTCAAAACAAAAAATAAATAGATGTCTGGCAAAGCGATGTGCAGCCAGATGATATACTCCATTGTGAAAAATTAGTTAAAAGCAATGTATATATTGATTATTTTTCCATTTAGCTCTAATATTGTCATCAGCATACTAGGACTGCACAGTATTACTGATATACCAGTATATCGAAACACATTTTCCATATGATACGTAGTACAATATTGTTTTCTGAGAACCGGTATATTCAACTGGGTACAGAACATATATGACTGACTGAGTTTGGTTTTTACACCGCTTTTAGCAATATTCCAGCAACATCACGACAGGGGACACCAGAAATGGGCTTCACACATTGTACCCATGTGGGGATTCGAACCCGGGTCTTCGGCGTGACGAGCCAACGCTTTAACCACTAGGCTACCCCATCGCCCCAGAACATATATGAAGTATTTGTCATTTTCCTTATGGTTTGAATTAAAATCTACACAGACCTTCATTCACAACAAATGTTTTTCTTTGTTATTCAATGTAACATGTGTTATATTCAGTCACCTAACCCACTCAGCCACCACTACTTCCACAAAAATGGAAGTCGGACAAATGGTAGTCTAGACTGCTGACTTTGTGTATCCCTCTGATAAGTATAAATTGGCATTGCTCCATAGCCGAAAGCTGATTACACAGTGCCATTTAGAAAGTGGTCCAATGTAACATACGTTATATTTGGGATTACACTTTCTTAGTAAAGGAGAGATTCTAGTACATTTGTTGGGTTGAATCCCATCCAGGATTGGAACCCACACCCTCAGAGTCCGGCACCTAAACGCCAGCATACAGAGTCGGCTGCCTAGCCTAGCACTCAGCCACCGAAATTTCCCAAAAAATGGAAGTCTGACAACTGGTAGTCTAGGTTCTACTACACTAAATCAGTATCACACGCTCCCTGCGCAAGACCCGTATGTAAAACAAGTCAAGAGAGACAGAGACATGTGACAGCTGTGATTGGATGAAATAGTGTAAGATGTTTGTTTTTCAAAAGCACATCCAACCAGTAATTAAAACTGACCACAATTTTAAGTATTTAGTGCTGTCATGTTTATCACCATCACTTGTACCTATTGTGTGTACAGATATTTTCCAGTAGGTGACATTGGTGCGGAACTGGGGTTGATGTGTTCCGCTTCCTGTGCTCGCAAAACGAGCCGGACAAGTTGGCCTGATATTTTGCTTTATGGTAGTTTAAAGGTCAGAGTGTACCCATGTGTACATGGAATGGCTGTTGATGGCCTGGATATTTTAAAAAAAAATATAAGGTTACTATAGAAGTCTATGGGAAAACATTTGGTGGTGTGTAACCTGTAGGGTTCAAGCACTTTTCAGTAATTCATACTTTACATGCTTTCCTGTGTTTAATTCACCATGGAAACATGTTAGCATTAATGTAGAGGCAAATTTAAAGGTACTGGGAGTGAAGATAGGGCTGTTTTGAGTGGAATAGATTGTTTTAGTGTCCAGAATATGAACGTTGCTTCGTTTTGTGGTCGAACAGTGGTAAAAGACCCTCAAGGTGAGTCTTACCATCAAGTAGTGGTTCCCTGGCTTCTACATTTGTTGGAACTGATGAATTTGACAACAAATTAGGTTAAAATCACCACTGCCACAACAATGTTAGTGTCTAAGTTAATCTCCTGAGGGTCAGTTTGAAGTCAAATGATAAGAATATCATGAAATATGTTCACTGCTGACAGCAGAACATGTCACAAACCCTTGTTTTAAATGCAAACAGTGTAGCATATGATTAATTCTTTCTGTCTGTCCCCTTTTGCATATGCAACGACCTATTTTTCTTTTCCCTTTTCAGAAATATACCCCTTTTTTCACCCATAGGACTTTCAAAATGAATTTCTGTTTTATTAACAACTGTCTCATTGCTGTTATGGATTTTATGACTTGACATTTAATGTAATCTCAACACTATTTTCAACTTGTAGAATGCCTGTTGGTGAATGGGGAGGTGTATCTTCACAAATACAGCAGAAAAAGAAGCCTTCACATCCAATGTGGTATTTCGACAAGCCGGTCCGAAGTCTGTTGCTGGCAGTGTCTAATCAAGCATACTCCCTTTGCTTCGATATGCTTTACCGCCTTGTAAAAGTTGCAGTACTTGGACATGTAGGTACATATAGTACATTTAAGTGTCCCAGTCCAGTTAAGGCACCACAATATCTCACTACCGAATTCCATCACTCGGTCATCCTCATCCATTAGAAATTTCTGACATTGTCCCCTTAATGCCTCACTGTGTAGTATTTCAGTTTCCCAGACATGAAATAAGGGCTGTACATCAACCCCAGAAGCTGCTTAGATGTAAATAATAACAACTGACCCTTGTGGTATGTAATATTATGGGTCTGAATTCACATTTTATTGACATGAGAGTGTTCGATATCTTAAAATTATCTCCCCTGTTTACCCAAATACATTGTGTCTTTCTCTAACCCAGTAACCCATAAATTACTGCAGAGAAGCTCTGTTTTTTACCTGATATTGCCAAACATGGTTAATTGTAATTAAAAATATTCAGTTTAGGGCAGGGTAAGCAATACATTTCCAAAATTATGTGGATTTTTTCACTTTGTTCCCTCTAAACTGGCTAATACATGAAATTGGCAAGTCTAACAGCCTCAAACAATACACAGTAAATAATATTGAATTTCTGGAAGTATCTCAAAGTCTTAGCTTGATGAATCAATATAATCAAGTGTAAGTTCTTATCATGCTGTGGTCTAAAAGTGATTTCATCTGTCGAAGGGGTCATTTGCCTTGATCGACTAACAGGCGGCAGGGTACTGTGGTCAGTGTTTCAGACTGCTAGGCATTATCCAACCCCTCACTTATTACATTCTGGCAAAGTTCATCATCCAGCCTTACATATGTCAGGATGTTAATGCTGCTTAATGTTAAATCTGTCCAAATTCATGCCTGAATTCCATGATTTTTGTTGTTCAAAATATATTTTGGATTGATAAGACCAAGGCAGTCACAGTCATGCATGGAATTAACCCATGGCCCCCCTTCTTTTGTGAAATAAGAGTAAATTCCCATGGTATATGTATGATTTGAAAACTTTCTCTATTAATGCAGAAGTGCATTTTGTACAGCTTTGGTGAAATAGACATGTTGGACAGGAAAAAGTATTGAAGCTTCATGCAATTTTATATATTTTCTGAGAAGTTACATGTATATACAGTACATAAATCACAGATTTGCCTAGGGCAAATGTTTCTAAATTTTTCTATAGGTTCTACTACACTAAATCAGTATCACATGCTCCCTGCGCGAGACCCGTATGTAAACAAGTCAAGAGAGACAGAGACATGTGACAGCTGTGATTGGATGAAATAGTGTAAGATGTTTGTTTTTTAAAAGCACATCCAACCAGTAATTAAAACTGACCACAATTTTAAGTATTTAGTGCTGTCATGTTTATCACCATCACTTCATTGCTTACGTCACAGTTTGTGTGCACAAACTCGTCACGTGATGCACAATACTATTTCGAGGGACAAACATTGCAGTTTTTCGCGCGCCTCAGTTTGACAGCTGTCTTCACGTTACTTACATTATTATCGCCATGGCTTCTACCTCTACTTTGTATAACGTGTCTCTCGTGCCTGATGACGTCCCAGGAGCGACATTTATTTATGTTGACATCGATCGTCATTCCGTTGTTCAACTGAAACGGTGGTTGGAGTGCCGAGGCTTGCCTACGACAGGAACCAAGGTCGAACTCGTTGAAAGGTTAGTCGGAAAATGTTGAAATGAGTATGTCAAACCTACTGAATCTATCGGCTAAGAATATATATGAAATAACATGTATTTAAGTTCTTGTTCTGGTTGTGTTACAATGGTATGGTGACGACTAAACGGTAAAACCTACGTCGATGTTTGAAATAATTTCGGACGGCTTGGTAGATCCCAAACCGGAAGTGATTTTTCCCCTCTCGCAATTATTTGTTAATGGAAATAACCATAACAAACAAATATATTCGTGCACCCTCATAGATGTACGCGACAATGACAATGTGTTGTATTCGTACTCCAGTGCCGACCAATCACCATTTATATAATTGTTCCTGAACCTGTAATATCCAGGTAAATTCCCACATTGAGTAATGTTGTTGTTTCCTCGATTTCTACGTCAAATAAATCTGACAAAATCACGTATTATGCATTATGCTATGGTTCTTTGTATTACCGCAAGAGGTTATTTAACCTACTTTACTGACATTACCAATAGATGGAAAGTATTCATGCACAGATGACCTGAATGTTTACACACTGAATTCCACTAAACTCTGATGAAATCATAATTTTAGACTGCAACACAACTGGCAAGGATAGAGCAAATCGAGCATTACTAGACCAGGTTAAAATAAACAATACATAAATAAGGAAATATTAACAAGCCTTAGTCTGGTCATTTGGTGGACAAGTGCTATGATCTAACCTTGACTGGTGTTTACTTATCTATTTTTTTCATACAGATGCCAAGATTGCATAGATGCGCATCAGGACACCAACATTGCCATTTCCATCGATAATGGGAAATGGTACCAGATGAAGGTTCAGGATGTTTTGGCTTCTCTTAACAGGTAAATATATTGATTCCTGATCATATCCAAATGGAAACACTGCATGAGAATAGGTTGAAATAGCATTAATGAGTTTCCATTACTGGATTGAAGTTGCATTGAATTCTGCGAAATTGTGTTAATTTAATAGTCTGTACATTTCTTCTTGAACATTACTTCACTGACTGACTGACTGAGTTTGGTTTTACGCCGCTTTTTAGCAATATTCCAGCAATATCACGGCGGGGGACACCAGAAATGGGCTTAACACATTGTACCCATGTGGTGAACATTACTTCAAGCACCAGAAATAGAAAGTGCATGGAAATTGCTAATACTATTTGTGGCATATTTTATTTGGAGAAAAGTATGTTAATCACTTAAATTGTTGATTTAATCAAGGTATATTTAAAGGAATGTGTGTACATCCTCTGGATTGAGAGGAAATTGTATGCCAGGTTATTTAAGAAAAAACCCAACCTTTTTAATTTCACTTTTCAAGGGTCAGGCTTCATGTTATAAAATGTGGTGAAAACATTGTACTGTGATATTCTGTGTTGTCATATAATCCCAAGACCCTGCACACCTACAAGTTTAATAATAAATAGTAAGTCCCTTGAGAAAGTAATTTTGTGAAGACATTAAAATGTCTGGAATATTTTTCTGCACTAAATTTTCTTTGCATTCCAGTACAAGTCAGGCTTCGACTGTGAAGCAACCTCCCACGCCACCTATCACAGGATGGAAGAACTTCCCTTTTGGTAATATCCCTCCGACCTTTTCATATGGTGATATATACCAGTACATAATTGCTTCAGCCAGACTACAGCCTCTACCACAAGTCACTCCTATCAACACTAGTGATGATGATGAAGAGGATCAGGACAACACCTTTAGCACAGCAAAGCCCATGAAGAAGGGAAGAGCTTTTTTTAAGAGTGGCCACATACAAAATATTCAAACTTGTTCTAATAATGATTATTATTATCTTAAATGTGAATGTCTTCCGTCATACAGACTGGGTATGATGTACCATGCACATGTTACACTTGATAAGTATGCTGTAATTCAGGATGCATCATGTGATTGCATTGGTTCAGCCACTGGTCGTTGTAGCCACATTGCAGGATTGTTGTTTGCTTTAGAGGATTACACTGTTAACTTTGGTTATGCTGCACCCTCATGTACTTCTTTGACTTGTTCCTGGAATAAACCCCGAAACAAAAAGAGAAACCCACAACCTGCTCAAACTTTGCAGTACAGCAAAAAGCGAGCACCAAACCGTGTCATTGATCATGACCCACGTCCTGTTGTAGATCAATCCAATAAAGCTGATAGTAGTTTTGCGACTACTTTCATTTCCACAGCACTAGCCCTGGACACAAAAACATCATGGCACAGCATCCTAGAAATAACTTACGATGATTATGAATTGTCTAATGACTTAAAACTTTATCTCATGGACAGGTGTGATGTTTTTATTGAAAATGTGAAAGATATCATATCAGAATATGGAGTTAGCCCATGTGAAGTACCTGGTACTGAAGGTCAAGCAATTTCTGATCAGTGGCATAATGCCAGGTGGTACAGAGTGACAGCATCTATTTGTAAAGATTGTGCTACTGTATCCACAGGTCGAGGTAGATATCGTTTGTTATCATCACATGTTTGGGGTATTGATTGTGTTGATACAGCTGACATGAGGTATGGTTCATGTAATGAAAAAACTGCATTTGAAGACTATTCATTAAACCATATAGAAACATTTACTTGCCATGCAAGTGGTTTCTGGATAAATTCCAAGTATCCTGAACTAGGATGTAGCCCTGATGGCATATTGCAGTCTCTCAGTTCCGATGTAGCTTGTGGAGTTTTGGAAATTAAGTGTCCATCAGTGCTAGAAAACATTGCTCCAATTGAGGCAAAAGAAAAACTCACAAAGAAGCAATATTATTCATTTTGCAGCACTTTGGAAAATGGGAAACTCCAGTTGAAAAGAAATCATAAATATTATTTTCAATGTCAAATGCAAATGGCCATCTGTGAAAAGTCTTTTTGTGACTTTGTAATATGGTCCCCAAAGGGCATGTCAGTAGAAAGAATATTCTTCAATAAACTATTTTGGGAACAGACATACCACCGCTTGAAACTATTTTACAAATATATTCTGGTTCCTGAGATATTTGAAATGAGAGTGCCAAGAAAGCTACTTCCCTTTGATCTGTCAAAGTAAATGTTACAAACTGTGTTATCAATAAACAAATGTAAACAAATAACCAGACATGGTAGTTAATGGTAAATGTACTGTTTATTTACTTCAACAATACTTTGAAAATATGTACAGTCATATGCTGAGTACATGATGAATGATTCAGCCTCTTAAATACTGCATATCATAATGATTGTTAGTGCAATACTATTTTATACATGAACCTCTGGCTTGAATGCATAGAAATGCTGCTCAAATGTAACATTTTATGTTTTGGTATTATTCTTTTTCAGTGAAGTATGGTAGAGATGATAGTAAGTTTGTAAGGTTAGTCCAACCAATCTGTCTAAAGTACTAGAATCTGTACCATACTTTAGTGAGAAAGTGTAATCTCAAATATAACATGTTCATACAAATAAATCACACCTGTTACCACTGTGTCACTGTGCTATTTACATCCATGAAGGATTTTACTAATGATGTCATTCTGTGCTATAATTGCACAGGCTATTGTATTTCATGCCTCCAAGTGAAATAGTTATTCACTTTCGGGAATCATTATGTATTTTGTGTGATGACAACAATGTTTGTCAGGGACTATTTCTTGTGTACACTCCTGCATTGTGGCTAAAGTCTGTCTGACTTGTGACCCAGATAAACAATGACCTATTACACAAGTAAATGACAATTTTCTGATAACTTTCTTGCTCAGAAGTGTTTTAAAGTATATTCCATGACTGATACTATTGAAAATTAAACTTCATTGCACTGAAGAACTAATTTGATCTGTTTGACATTTCTATGGTTATGGTGACCTGTCAACAACATTTAGGTAAGGCATGGTGACTGTAAATAACTGGATGTCTGTTTTCCTATTAAAGTCATATTCATTATCTGATATTTTCATGCATTGTTTTAAGACAGAGTACAATATATACCGGTATTCTACTGTTTTTCCCACCTGTGTACCTGCAATATGAAAGTAGTTCAAGGTTTTGACATTTGTTGCTGAGGCACTATTTGACAGTCTTCTGTCCATATCCTCGGTTTGCATTTGCCACATATTTTAGTAAATCTAGTATAGTCCAAATTATTAAAGGCCACATAGGACAACATCAATTCCTTGATACAGAGTATATTTATGCTACACTGGCCCCAAGTTATCAATGGTCTTAGCATACATTTGACATCTGTCAAATGCCGCCCCAGATGCTTGGTCTGAACACATGGTTGTGCTTATTGCTATATCAGATGTTAGATATAGAAACTGGTAGATATATGTAAAGAAACCAAACTACTCAAGATTGTGTGAAATGTGTTCCTGTAACTATGTGAAAAATGAGTACCACTTCTTACTGATTTGTACTGCTAATGATGATCTACGTTAACGTTTTATCCCTGTGGATGTTTTCACCCATTCAACCTTGTGTAGATTTAATCAACTGATGAGTAATGCTACTCCTTTGGTTTTAAGAAATCTTGCCTTGTTTATCTTCTATGCTAACAATCGTCGACGCTACAGCTTGAAGGCTGCCAATGTATAACGTTGTACCATGGGCCGGTGGCCTACATTCACATGAATAAAGACTAGACTAGTTACATCAGATGTTAGCACAAATCTCATTTGTCCAATCTTTTCAGACACTTTGTATCACATAAGGACAATACCAATTGATAAAAGGAAACTGATTCTTTTGTAAGTTTCACTTGTCATAGAGCTAACCACCAACTAAGATGGCGGCCACTGATGCTACGATGGCGTGAAGATATTGTCCATTTAATTATAACAAATTCTCTTGATATCCTGATCATTTCTACTGTGTCCTAATTGTATTCTGACAAACAGGACAGCATAAGGATAATTAGTAGTCACTTGTGTTAGAAATGAAATTACCTATGCATTGTTTCTGGTATGAAAGCCATCAAACCTGTATTCTGATTGGCTAAGAAAGGTCACATGACCTGTTAATGATGCCCATAAATATGATCACTGGTCAAGGTGTTTGACAATCAACTATTACATCACATTCAATTTATTACTCTTACTTTATCCGTTCCTGCTATTACTTTTACCTGGCACATCAACCACTCTAATATTTATCATCATAACTGCCACTAGGTACCCCCGGTATATATTTTTTTTAACTCAAGTTGAGAATCACTTTCTTGGTAACATATTATGCACAGTATCACTTGCGGAAGAGATTAAGTTGAAATAACTATTTCCTTTGAGACTGAGTCTTGTCATTTGCAAAACACTCTAAAAGACTCCTTTAGACACAGTTATGACCCCAATTCAGTACAGATTGTCTCCTGATCCTCTGGAGTACTTGATCAGTACTGGGGATATTTATTGGCATCATTTATTTTATCACATTGTTAATAAGTTGCATCTACAATTGTTGCCATTAAAGCAATATTAAACATAAAGTTTGCATGTATCATTGCAAACCTTTCTTTCCCTACTTCGTCATCTCCTTGTGTTATTTGTTTTCATACATGCACCCCAAGGGTGTTACAATATTCACCCAACCTTCCCACTGATCTGAATATAACTTTTAAGGTACATGTTTCCTTGCTTACCATAAGTACTTTATTGTTCTGCAAACACTTCAAAACAATCAATCTTTTTCTGATGATGTGCCATGAAGGAAAAATGTGATATTTAAAAGTAATAAACTTTGTGCATGCAAACAGTAATTGTATAGTGATTCATATATTATTCTGAAATGTATTCACGTGAGTGAGGAATATCAACACCTAATAACTACTTACATGTTTAAACTGAGAAGACAAGAGTTTATCATCACAGATAATGTACATTCAATAATATGAGGAGGATAATGCCTTCCTTACTTAACAAGCGGTGGCTGGTAGTTTGAAAGCATTCCTATAACAAACACTATCTGGGATGCTAAGTGTTTCATGGAAAGAGGAATAACAGCGCTTAATATTCGATATTCCCTCAACCTTCCCACAGATCTCTCCACATGTATTCTTGTCCTAGCAATAGATCGAGTCAAGATGTCTTCTTTAGGAGTCAGCTTGTCCCTTTTGCCTAGGAATGGGGGAATATTCAAATGTGCTCTACAGCTCATGAGGAGATCTTTGATAGTGAAGCCTCTATCAGCTAAAACCAAATCACCTGGGTTTATTTTTTGCAGAAAGCCTGATTTCCTGACAATATCTCTGTCTGATATGCAACCTTCATATGCATCAGATACAAATGTAACAGCCCCAGTTGGAGAAATACCGAGTAAAACCTTTAAGGTGTTGTGAGTCTTGTACTGAGAGTACATGTTACCTTGCTCACCATAATCACTTGGTCTTTCTGTAAACACTTCAAAACAATCAACAATGACTCGGATGTTTTTGAAACTTTTAAAAACAGATGGCAATGTTTTCCTGATAATGTGCCTTGAAGGAAAGATGTGATCTTTTAAAGTAATTAACTTCATATACAGAAACTGAATCCAAGTGGTAATGATACAGGACACAGAACCAACACTGATGTTATATCTATAGGATAAATCTTTTGTGGGCAAATTTCTCCTTAATCTTACAAGCGTCAAAACAAGTTGGTCTTTTACTGTCAAAACCCTGCATTTACCAGATTTATTGGAATTCATCTTATTTCCACGCCAGTAGCAAATGTCATTCACACTGTCACCAAGAGAAGAAAAGAGATGATTGAAGTGAACAGTTTTCATACCAGTGTAGTACTTAAATTTCTTCTTATTGCACACTAGATTATCAAAAAGTAAATCACAGGTTTTGTTGTCTAGATTTCTGCTAATTCCACAATCTGAATCAGGGACTTGCGCTGTCATCTTTTCATAAATCTTAGATACCAAGATGCTTGAACATACAAACTCGGCCTGGCTGGACATGTCTTGAGTTGATGGCGTAGCTTGGCAGGCAGCATCACTGGAACTGTGCTCAGTCAAGGCAGTCTCTTCAATGTCACAGACATTCTGTTCCAATACATACAAAATTATGTTGAACGCAAAATGTTTGATCAGTTACATATTTAGACAAGGTGTACATTTGGTAGTATTGTAGAGGCAATGGGTGATTAATAATAGTAAGGGCATGGTCCTAGTAACTCTTGTGCCTCACGGTTATACTCAAAAGATATATTAAATGTGTTTAAAAGGGTTACAAAGTTACATACTTTCATTATTAGTAGCTTGAATTCTTAAATTGTACATTGTAAGATTAATTTGAACAAAATATAGATCTAACGGTTTGATGCATGATTGCAAAACACTTAATATCAGATAAAAGACTTAAACACAACTTTACATCTATGACACAGTTATGACCATACCAATTCAGTACAGATTGTCTCCTGATCCTCTGGATGCTTTCTTGAGGTGTAAGGGTGGTCAGCTGCACATACTGCCAACAAGGATAGGCCATCATCACCTGCTGTCGAAGTTGGGTCCAACCTGGATACCTTGGATGGAAGAGGGTGTCTCTCCACTGGGTTCTTCCTCTTCTTCGAAAAATGCACCACCTGGAATTTTTTCAATTTGGACTGCATAAATCTGCCACTATATGTTTGAACATATCATTTTTACAAAAAAGATAACATCAATGACATTTTTTATTGAATTTAAAATTTGTCATAATTCATACATACATCAGGTGTCAAATCTAAATGCTCACCACATGTGTTACATTGGTTTGACCTTTATGCGTATATGTAGTATGACACTGGCTTGTAGACAATGTTTTTGACGTTATATTTGAACACAAACATAAAAATCATGACACTTACCTGATCAGATGTATATGTTGCCGGGATAGGGTCGGGATGTTCAAACGATGGACCATTCCCACCAACGAAGTGTTTGGAACATAGGTAGGTGTATTTGTTGACCTTGTCTGTTGTGAATCCATCTCGCGAACAAGCGCGAACCCACCTCGCACACTTCTCAGGCTCCTTGTGGAACTTAGGAAATAAAATAAAATGAACCCCGGCCATCTCCGGTCTCTCCCCGTATCGGTTGTCGCTTCGGCAGATCCCATACGCACAGTGTTTAGCCGGCATCGTGTAAGTATATCCGAAATCGTGTTGTTGTTTTGACAAGCGGAAGAGGGACAAATGTCAATGTTTGTCCCTCGTTTTTCGCGCATGCGCGATTCTAAAATAGAGCGGAAGTACCCTATATTCTATTTTTAGAAGTTTAGACTAGTTGATGAAATGGCCTATTTTGGAAGCGCGAAAAGTAAACAAGTGCGATATTCCACCTGATGCCGATATGCCCGTTTCATGCGCGGTGTTTAAATGTAGTAATCGTGCAACCCGAGACAAGAAGAGATTTTTCAGATTCCCAGCTATTATTAGTAATAGTGATGAGAAAACAAAGAGATCTCAGTCAGAAACGGCGCCGTTTGTGGTTTGCAGCTGTCAATCGGGAGGATCTTGCATTCAAGGATACCAAATACATGCGTGTGTGCAGCGATCATTTTGTTGGTGGTAAGTACAATATGTGGCTATGGCCGGTAACTCTGCGTAATACGAAAGTAGGTTCGGTTGTCTTACTAATCAAACTCGTTATCCTGTCAGTAGTAGTATGACACCGATAGAAGGAATTATCTGTCTTTCCAAACCAGCTCTGGCGTGACGAAATTATTCGTTTCTGCGTCGACATGATCAATTCAATACACGAATTTTAACCCGCTTCGCTGAATTATATAAGGCCACAATATATGAAATAGTCCAGGTGATCTGTGACATATCAGGCTAAATTGAGGCTGTCACCGATAATTTAACAGTAGGAACATGCCTGAACTCTGCATGCCTCCATACTGCAGTACAGTTATGCAGTTAACACCACAAGACAATAATTGTGTAATATTGTGATGATGACGATAATAATCAAATAATCTTCTCAGGTTCTCCTTCGGCCTTGTATCAGGACACCCATCCCGATTGGATACCAACTTTGAAACTTGGCTATGGCAAGGCTGACAATGACAACAAGGGTTCTCGTTTCTCCCGTCTGCAGGTAAAGTAAGGGGACCGTTCATAATTTATGGCTGGGGGTGATGGTGATGATTTTAAGGGGTCACCCATTTTGATTTTGTTCTGGAGGTAGGGGGTCAGCAATTTTGTACACAAATTTCTTGGGGGTCAGCAATTTTGTACATGGAAATATTTAATAATTAGGCTTACAAAATATATGGGAAGGGGGTAATTGATTTTGTACACAACATGCAGAGGGGGGTCACTTACTTTGTGCATAAATTTTAGGGGTGCCAGTCACATTGTTCATGGTTCTCCATAAAAATCATCATCACCCCCCTGGCCATAATTTATGAAGGGTCCCTAAACATGTTTAATATTTTTTATGTATGTATATTTCATATGTTACTGACTTGTGACACTTAATTAAATGAAATGTTTCTGTCTTTCTGTTCATTTTGAAATTCCTTGAACATTCAAAAGAAGTCAAATTGAGGGGTGCAAAGGTTAATTGATTTTTGCTGTAGTATGTAACACAGATATTCCCTCAATCTTAAAAAATTATTTACATCATATATATAAGGTTTATTGTAAGGACTTGTGTTCTTTGTCATTTAGGGCGAAGGGAAGCATCAAGACTCGGAACCTCGGTTTTGATCTTGAAGTTGAAGAGGAACTTTGTGAGGCAGAATCAGACACTGAACCAGTAGATCAAGAGCATGATATTACACCCGAACAGGAACTTAAAAGTTGCAAAATTGAAATTGACATTCTTAAGTCAGAAAATGAATCTTTAAAACATGAGAATAATCTACTTAAGAAGATAGTTCATAAAATGAAAGCAAATAATACTGAAGACTTTGAAGGTGATGATGATAAAGCACGATATTATACTGGTCTGCCTTCGTTTGTAACACTAATTGCATTGTTCAATCTCGTATCATATGGAATTTGTCAGTCTTCACATTCATCTCTGACAAAGTTTCAAAGTTAATTATTACATTAATGAGACTCAGACTGAATTTACCCACTCTTGACCTAAGTTACAGGTTTGGTGTCAGCAAAGCTACAATTTCCAGGACATTTAATCAGGTTATGGATGTCTTGTACATCAACTTAAAACAACTTGTGTTCTGGCCAGATAGAGAGGATTTATGGAAAAAATGCCAATGGTATTCAGAAGGTATTTTGGACGAGAGTGTCTGTTATTATAGACTGTTTTGAGATTTTTATTGATAGACCATCCAATTTGACAGCTAGAACCCAGACATGGTCAACATTACAAGCATCATAATACTGTAAAATATCTTATTGGCATCACTCCCCAAGGTTCTGTAAGTTACATTTCTGAGGGATGGGAGGTCGTGTTAGTGATAAGTATTTAACAAATAATAGTGATTTCACCAATCATCTTCTCCACGGTGATATAGTATTAGCAGATAGAGGCTTTGATATACAAGAAATTATTGGTTCTGTAGGAGCCGGAGTTAAGGATTCCAGCATTTACACGAGGTAAACCACAGTTAAGTGGCACTGAAGTAGAGGAAACAAGAAAAATTGCCAATGTAAGAATTCATGTTGAAAGAGTTATTGGTAGTGTCCGTCAAAAATACATGATCCTCAGCAGCACTATTCCCATTGATTACCTAATGACAAAGAATAATGAAACTGATCCATTACTTGACAAGCTTGTCCATGTTTGCTGTGCACTTACCAACATGTGTCCATCAGTTGTTCCATTTGAGTGAAGGCTACTTATATCTTGTGAGACTTACAAAGATGAAAAACATAAATGAAAGGTCAAATGTGTTTTAATGTTGGCATATTTAGCACTTTCGGTGATACACCCACCTTGACATGTTCAATGGCAACTAGAACCACATTGTAGTTTGCATCTGATATACTATTATCTGAAAATTATGTAATCTATGTTTCTAACATGACCATGATCAATGTTGTTCCTCCAAGTTTTAAAAGGTATTATTTGATAACTTCATCATTAATGATCATAGATGTGTTCAGATTGAATTAAGTTTAAAATGTCACTGGCAAGGAGGGCTAGTTATGTAAAACTGTCGCTTGCCCATATCATACTTCACAGGCCCTGCAAAATATCAATATCAGCATGCACATTGGTCAGGCCTGGTATTATGTTGGTAATTACAGATGGTAGGTTATTGTCAACCCTTTGAAACAATACATTTGTATTGTAGTAATGGTTCCTAACTTCTTTTGCTTAATGCTGTTAACATTTTCTATATAGTGATCTTAGGTGTGGCAAGAGATAATATATATCACTAAACTTTTGAGGACAGACTTTTAACACCTTAATCATGTTAATAAATGACTTCATCATATTCATGTACATTAAACAAACAACAAATTATCTGATATACTGAACCAGTTGGGATAGCTTTGCTTTAACAGTATATTACTGGCCCGATTCACAATCAGCTAGCAGGCAAGTAGCTATTTCAAACACTGTGATGTGTTGTCATTATTCAAGCAGATCATATGTCACAAAATTATTTGTAAGTGAAGTCACATCTTATTCAAATGACTTTACTGATATTTTGTTTCACACAATAATTCAGCTGCATAATTATCCCAGCAACTATTGATGTCATAGACCATTTCACAAACCAATGGAAAATATTTCATACACAAGTCTATGAGTTACTGCTCAAATGTACAATCTGTCAATTATAGTAATAAAACTATTCTTAATGTGCTGAAACATTATCTGTGATTATTTTTGTTCTATGTTGGCCTTGGTGTAAGCGCCAACAAATATGACATCAATATCATTTTGAGAACAAGTTCAATAAAGAGGTGGTGTGTCATCACAGACATAGAACAAGTTGCTTGGTGTCAGCGAGGCTTGAGACACATAAGTAAAGTTATACTGATAAGATATTGTTCATGAAACATCACTCCTGCGCTATTGTGTTTCCGCTTCTTTCTTGTGTTATTTGTAGAACAGTGTTTACAATACCATTTCCCTTTTCGGTTTTCGCACAAGACCAACACACTTGAAGTGAAACCATCTGACTGTACATTCTTTCCCATCACAGCCAATATACCTCCTTCCATCTTCTGGCTTCTGGCATGTACAAAACACTTCCTTGTCGACTCTTTCTTCAGCAACCCTTGTACATGTGTTCAAGAAATGACGTGCAACAATCTCTGGTAGAATAATGGATGTGAAGAACTGCATTGCATGATCAGCTACTGGTTTCCAAAATACCATACAAGGTGTAATTCTTTCCACAAATATATCATTGTTTGTCCAAAGTCACAGTAATCATGATTAGTTACAAATAGCTGTGTTTGCACCTGGTAATAATACTGACTGTCCCTTTTTAATTGCAGTGACCCATTAATCTCCTCTAAGTAAACTATGTTACTATCAACAAAGTCATCCTTTGCACAGAATGGACACTTAATCTCAAGACAGCCCCTTCCACAACAGCCACAGTCCACAATACCATCAGGAGTTGCCCCAAGATGTGGATACTCACAGCTGAGGAATAAGCCACATTCCTCAACACTGAAGTTATGGTGACGCTCAGAAGACAATTTCTCATAGGTGTCCCTAGCTGTTACTTCATGGCTACATCCCCATCTGGTAGCTGGATTAGAAAACTTGACCTTAGTCGGGTAACAGATGTGGCGAAGTAAACTCCTCGAGGAGGGTCAGACAGTGATGTCACGATTGACACTCTTCATTTTTTGATGCTGTTATACGGCCAGCCCTGAACTGAAACCAAACTGGGGAACACGCTTGGTTTCTTGTTGCTCCTTCAACTGCTGAAACCTCCTCTGCTGTAATGTTTAGTTGATTTATAGCGTTGTGACAGTGTAGTAAAACATCATTGTATGGGATGCCAACCATACTTTCATCAAAATAGTTCAGTGATCACTTGAGGAAATTGTTGTTGTAATGGTACAGGTACATACTGATCACTGTAATCACTATGAACCGCCAAGAGACAAGATGGTTTATCTGCATTAATAGTCTGAAGAAATTGTCAAAACTGACGGTAGATGCAGGTTTTAACTCCTTGATATGTTTAGCACTTGATGAAGTCGAACATGTCGTAGAACCCTCAATTAACAGGTCAAGTTTCTTTTCAAAGTCTTTGATGAGGTGAAATCAATCTTTCTTAGACATGCATAGTTAACCTTTTAAGAGAAGCTGGAAGTTTCCAGTATGCAGGTTGCTGTGTGACAGTGGCGGTTTCTCTTAATCTCACAATAGCTTCAACAGCAAACATCATACTTGCCACATGTGAGCATGATTCACCCAAACCATACATACAGTTACAATGAGCTGATAAAACTGTGCCAAGCGTCATCAGTGATAAACCAGGGCTGCAATGGAGCTTACGTTCAAGCTGGGAATGCATAACCTGTGAAAATACAGTGCAGGAATTAATTTTTGTTCAGACATAATGCTATATGATATTAAGAAATTGATTGAAATGTGGCAGTTTTACTAAACCAAGGCTTTTTCATGCGCAGCACACTGAAAGGCAATTAGTATGTACAAAATTTTATTAACACACTAAAGACATTTTTGGATTTTGTATCAACATTATCTCCTATGTTAAAATCAGTGTAAAGGTAATTAAAATATTGCAGTACTCTACACAGGTTTGCCACAGATGACTAAAGTTCAAACTCCATACTTTCCTGACTTATCCCTGACCAATTTGATTTTCACTGATCAAAATTAAAAGAAACAAATAAAATTTCGGCCTCCAAACTCCCCTACAGCCGACCTTTCTATCCATTTTACTTAAGACAAAGTAAAATATTATGACAAAGTAATCAAACAAACACAGAGATCAATCTAACGTCAAGATGAAGTGTATGACACAGAAATATTACCTCTGGCAAACTCTGACACATAAGTTTTGATTTTCTTTTTTTAATTTCAATGTTTTCATTTTAAAGTCCCTGTTGCAAGATTGAGGATCACCTCCAGGAAAAGGGTGACTTTGTATAGTATGAAATCTTACTGGTAGAAATACTGACATTTTCAACAAAAAGAACACACAAAGAACATAGACATTGATAGTAAGAGGTCAAAAACAGTAGCTGGGACAGTATTTGAGTCAAACCCAAACATAAAAAGTTCAGCAGAGAGCTTGAGATTGAATATTTGGTCACATTTCTGTATCAAACATCCTTGGAAGTTATTCCAAAATATGTCTACAAATGGACACTGCCAAAACAAGTAAATTAAAGTTGATAATACCAATATCTATACAAAAACACATTTAATACAGACATGGAACTCAAATTCATACAATCGTTGCCTCAGTGAAGTTTGAAAAGAACTAGTTTTCCTGACTTTTTCCAAAACTTCAATTTTCACTGACTTTTGTAACAAAATTCCCTGATCTTGAAAAATAATTTCTTCCCTGACTTTTCCTGACCTGTGGCAACCCTGCTACATAAACAGAGCCTATGTTATATTTAGAATATTATCATTGTATATTTGCAAACACATTTGTTGATGTAGGTAAACTATTGTTCACTTACTTTTGACATCACGACATGAATGGCCTTTCCATCTTGGACGGATAAATGCACATATGAGACGATGTCTCGTACCCAACCACACACAAATCTGTCATATGCTTCCAGACTCCTATAGTTTCTCATATCGGATAAACTATAAAAAGGACTAGGGCTGAACACCAGATAGTTCACGATGTCGACATAGTTTGTTGCCGGCAAATACTTGTGGTCGTCACTCCAATCCGATCTGGGAATCCTGTACGGATCTTCGTTGTCTATCACAATAGTCTTCTCGATATATCGTATGCGAGATGCTTTATCCAGTAAGTTTGCATAATTCTCCATGACAGATGGTTAGATGACGGACTGAAGCAGACAGACGTATGCGTAGACGATAGTTGCTAGTGACGCTATGGTTGCTGGGGACGCGAATGACAACCAACATGGCGGCGCGCACGGAATCACGGGATAACTCTGAAACCCCTCTATATGAATGCATGACCCTGCACCCCACATAGCTTGACTATATAGGAGGGCTTAGCGGCTCTCGACTAGTATTGCTGAAAATGATACGTGCTAGGGCCAACACTCGTTCACTGATAGCCATCTTCCTACATACTTATTTATATATAGATGGCTATCAGTGACCGAGTGTTGGACAAGAACGACGTATTATTTTCAACAATACTAACCCCTGTGAGAATATCGTTGTAAGTCGGGGAGCATTGCCTTGGTCAGACAACCATAGTGGAGATAGCGAACGGTAAGATATCTAGATACTGACGATCACGAACAAACGAGACACTGCTCCAAGAGTTGATGTTACTGAAAACCCTCGAATTGTAATCTGCTGCTCTACTTACGTTTGAGTGCCACCACTGTGTACGAGCTCTTGGCTTCGGTGTGAAGGTAAATATCTTTACGACCAGATTTTCCGCTGCGAGCGCGGTTGTAGCTATTTTTAGAAAAGACTGTTTTCCTGCCTCTCTCCCCAACGACCTGGTCCCCTGGCGGCTCCCTCATAGTAGCGGAGGCAGTGTAGCGCCGGCGCAGAATACCCAGGGAACCAGGCTGACACCTCACCAGAGGCCGGGGGCCAGTCTGCATGTTGCACGTTGCCACAACACAGTGTTTAGAGAGCTAATAATATGATGTTAACCACGCACATTGTAGATTTGAAATGTTAACATATATATTATAAATACATTATTGTTGTGAATTTAGCCTCTATTTACAGGCCGACGTCTTACCAGTGTTTCAAGTCATACCAAAACACCCAGATGATTCTTGCAACGTTCTTTCTTGCTTTTACTCCCGGAAGCCCTTTGTCTACTGGACCTAGGAGGTCACCTGATTGTGTAAATGTTGTCTCACACACAATGCACTCATAATTTCGATTCCACGGTGAATTCTAATATGTGTCTGCAGAGTACTTGAATTAAAGTTGAATGTAAACTTTTTCCAACATTCAACACATTCATAAGGCTTGATTCCACTGTGAGTCCTTATGTGTTGTTGAAGGAGGCCTGCGTGTGAAAATGTTTTCTTACACACAGTGCACTCATGAAGTTTGATTCCACTGTGAATCTTCATATGTTCATTAAGATTACCTGATTGTGTAATTTGTTTCACACATTCAACACATTCAAAAGATTTGGTTCCACTGTGAATGTTCAAGTGTGCCTAAACGTTACCTGATTGAGAAAATCTTTTCTCACATACAATGCACTAATGAGGTTTGATTCCACTGTGAATCTTCATGTGTTTCTGAAGAGTATTTGAATGTGTATTTTTTCTCCACATTCAACACATTCATAAGGCTTGATTCCAGTGTGAATCCTCATGTGTTTCTGCAGACAATCGATGTGTGTTTTCAGACGTTTACAGCTTTGGTTAAACCCACGGGTTCAGGTATGGTTCTGACAAACCCAGACACCAGTTCGATTCCGTGATACGAACGTCAAAGATCCGAACCCACAATCACATTTCAGACTGCTGCATTAAATATGCTTAAATAATAGAGAAATAACACCCCAACCCCTTCTCCCCGGTGTCCGCCCGGGAAAACCACATTTGAGAAATACCAATTGCCGCGAAAGCCACATTTCAAGTTCAGAACTCAGTGCCTCGAAAGCCACTATGAGTTAGGGAATCAATGCCGTATTTTCAAATAAGCGTCACCCATTGATCACAATGAATTAAAACTTTTTCAGTGACTTGTCCTTTGTTTGTTTCTTAATCTCTTAACCATTACGGTGGTTACCAGACCCGTTGCAAGGGTCGTCGCAATGATAGAGCTTTCTTGACCTGCGTCGTTGCTGGATGTACTAGACTTACCACTCAAGGAGAAAATGCTGCATGATGTTGTTATTATGGACCACACGCACGCCGTTGCATCATTCGAGATGGAAGTCGATGCTTTCAAGGCCAAAATCATCGAGAGTAAGGACAGAGACGACCCCCATCCCTACCATCTATGGAGATGAGATATCCAGACTGAGGCAAAATTACGACATCGTCCCTGATGACATGCTGAAAGAGATTCCATCCCTGAAATCCCTGAGTACGATCCTATACCGACAGCACCACAAGACCCTTCCTGAATTACCAGCTACCAGAGCCCAAATCCAATTGGAGGACAAGTTTCCAAGAACAGAGGGCGGCAACCCGTTTCTTTATCAGTTTGATGCCAACACTTCTCTTCATTACAGACAAGAATCTGGAATATTTGTGTGCTGCTGACAATATTCTGTGACGGAACATTCTACTCTTGCCCCAAGCTATTTGATCAAGCGTGGACTATTCACACTGAGGGCAATGGACATATGTTTCCTTCAGTATACGGATTACTAGCAAACAGAACACGACAATGTTATGAGGTGTTTGAGTACCTACGTGAGGCAGCTACTTTGGGTGATCTGGACTTTTCTCTGTGAACAATTCAACTGAATTGCGAGATTGCCGCCCATAATACAGCCCGCAATATGTTTGAGAACAGTCATGTTAGAGGGTGTCTCTTTCACTACACACAGTGCATCTGGAGGAGAGTCCAGAAGGAGGGATTAGTGACCGCCTACAGAGAGAATGAAGACGTGAAGAAAGTGGTGAGAAGAGCAGGTGCTTTGCCCATGGTTCCCTTGGACAAGGTGGAAGACGTGTTCCAGCTCGGCTGCTCACAGGCGCTTGTGCAGTCCCAGTCTATTTCATTTAAAATAGATGTGCCTTTAGATGTTATCGAAAAGTTTGTAGACTTGGAGCAGATTTCAGCGACATGGGAGGTTGTTCCATAGCATAGGAGCTGCACGTTCAAAGCAGCGGTCCCAGTATTTAGTCCTGGATGGTCAGGTGATAAGCACAGCTTTATCTTGTGATCTGAGAGTTCTTATTGGTCTATGGTTGTTTAGGAGAGATGACATGTAAAATTTTGCAGTGTTGGTCTTCAGGCACTTGTAGATGATGGTGAGCAACTTGAATTTTATGCGTCTAGCAACAGGTAGCCAATGCAGTTCTCTTAACCTGGGGGTGATGTGGTCTCTTCGAGGACATGATCCTGGCGGCCGTGTTTTATATAATCTGGAGTCGATGAACCAGGGAAGCTGGATGGGCATAGTCAAGGCGAGACTGAATGAGAGTTTTGGCAGTTTCATCTTACAGATATCGTCTTAGTTTACCAATCTGATGAAGATGGTAATGAGGATACTGGTACATGCTTGTTCATGTGGCCTGGGAGTCGAAAACAATTCATAAATTCTTCACTTGGGAAGAGGCAGGCACATTCACAGGTTCAATATTGACTGAGAATTCTGTCATACGTTCCTTTAAGTGCTTTGGTCCAGAAATGAATACTTCCGTTTTGTTGTCATTTAGTTTGAGAAAGTTGATTCTCTTTCCAGCTTCGTTATCTTTTCCTGAAGTGATACAATCCAGGAGGCGATACAGCTTTGGGTGTCATCTGCAAAGCACTATAAGTCAATGCAGTGGTTCCGGAAAACATCATCTAGTGGTAACATATAGATGGTAAACAAAATTGGTCCAAGGACTGAACCCTGTGGAACACAATATGATAACCACCTTTCTTCTGACACGGCCTCATCAACTTCCACTTAGTTGTTTTTTAGATATGACTCAAGCCATATCAATGCTGGTCCGGTGATACCAACAGTCTTCTCAAGTCGAGAGAGAATGATATCGTGGTCTATTGTATCGAAGGCTGCCGACAGGTATAATAGAACAAGGAGTCCTGCTCTCTGATTGTCGAGATGAGAAAGGATGTCATTTTGCACACGAAGAAGTGCTGTTTCTGTACTGTGGTGTTCCCTATAGGCAGAGTGGAACTCTTCCATCAGGTTGTTCTTTTCCAGATGTTCCTTGATTTGGATTGCCACAATCTTATCAAGTACCTTTGATGGAAATGGTAGGTTGGACACCAGTCTATAATTTCTAATGTCATTTGAATCAAGTGAATTTTCTTGATAAGTGGACGAATAAGAGCCATTTTTAATGTGCTTGGTACTTCAGATGCAGCCAGCGATGTATTGAACATGCCACTAAGGAAGGTGAGATAGAGTCCGATACAGATTATAAGATCCATGTTGGGATCGGGTCTAAGTCACATGACTTTGATGGACTCTTCTTTCTTATGCGTGCTATCTTACTTTCTGATGTTGGTGTGATGGTACTAAGGCACTGTCCATTGAACGTCTTTTATGGAGTTATTATGCTCGGTTGCTTCTATTGTAGGTCGACACGGCTGTTCTCAATCTTCGTAGTGAGGGAATAAGCAAAACGATTCGCAAGATCCAGTTCACTGTTGTGATTAGGCAGAATGTTTGTCTTTTTATGTAACCGATTGTTACATTGTTGTTTGAACATTGAGCTTTGGTGTTGGAAGACGATTGAGCTATGCCGGAGTTAATATGTTGTGTACGAGTTTGCACTAAGAGGGCATTGTGTATATCTCTGGCCGTCTTGTACATCTGACGATGTATCTCTAAGTGCGTTCATCTCCAGAGTTTCTCAGCGTGTCGTTTCTCTTAACAGTACGAACTTCATCTGTATACCAGCTTGTATCAGGTGGAATGGTAACTGCCCTTCTCTGTATAGGTGCATGTGTTTCACGCGTTTCTGAAAGAATTTGGTTGAGCTTATTTGTTTGATTATTAATGGTCCCCATTTAAAGAACATCGTTTTCAGTCAAACGTTTTGTATGTCACAAATTAGACGATGTAAGTCAATACTGCTTTTGTTTTTCTGCATTTTATCATTTTTTCCACAGGAGCAGCTCTTGGGAGATTAAGGTGACAAAACCCTGAATAATGGTCAGAGATCGTATGGTTTTTCACAGTGATTGTTTTGACTGTCTGCTCAGCCTGTCTTGATGTGTGGCTTGATGCCATAGCTGATGCGCCCGCATATCCTAAAGTCACAGCCTTCATGGACTATGTAACATTCAGCTGGGTGGAAGGAGCACCATTCATCACAGCTCTGTGGAATCACTATGGAAATACTGGCCATCGTACAAACAATGATCTCAATGGGTGGCACAATGGGGAACTGCTCAAGTTAGGATGATGAACATCGAGTACACAAACCAAGTTGGGGAACTGCTGAAGTTAAAATGGTGTACATCGAGTACACAAACCAAGTTGGGGAACTCCTCGAGTTAGGATGTGTACATCGAGTACACAAACCAAGTTGGGGAACTGCTCAAGTTAAGATGATGTACATCGAATACATAAACCAAGTTGGGGAACTGCTCAAGTTAGGATGATGTACATCGAGTACACAAACCAAGATGGAGAACTGCTCAAGTTAGGATGATGTACATCGAGTACACAAACCAAGATGGGGAACTGCTCAGGTTAGGATGATGTACATCGAGTACACAAACCAAGTTGGGGAACTGCTCAAGTTAGGATGTGTACATCGAGTACAAAGACCAAGTTGGGGAACTGCTCAAGTTAGGATGATGTACATCG